CCCTTTCTTGAATTTCTTAGCCTCAGGATGTTTCTGACATTATAAAGAAAACAAGAGTAAATACTCATGTGCAATCCAAACACCAATTCAACTCTTTCATATAACATAAGATGTTAATGCTCAAAACTTACCGCCACATATGAATCCCATACTTCTTTTTCAGCTGTGACAGTGTTAGCCTCAGAATCCCAACCAAACCCTGTTGTTTCAATTAATGCCTTAAACTCCCTTGTGCTACGTCTAAGCCAATTCCACTTTGCTTTAAGTTGGTCTGATGTGAAATGCTTACCAAACTTAAGTGCTATTTCATTAGCAATTTTCATCCACGTTTTTTTTGTCCAGAGTGGATGTTTGCATCCCAGTCTTTGACTCTTCGTATATCAGTTCTACATAAAAATCCTTAATTGCGGCCGGCCATTTCGTATTATCGTCCTTATCACACATCTAAAATAACACTGTTAGCAATTAAAATAAATGTCAATTTGTAAAGTATATGCACACACACAGACACAGACACACGCAGGGTCTGATGGGGGCTGAAAATCAGCCCCCATTGGGCCTGATTTTCAGCCCCCATCATGGTTGATAATCAGCCCCCAATGGAGCTGATGGGCTGATGGGGGCTGATTTATCAGCCCCCATCAGGGCTGATAATCAGCCCCCAATGGGGCTGATGGGGGCTGATTTTTCAGCCCCTATGGGGGCTGATTTTCAACCCCCAATGGGGCTGATGGGGGCTGATTTTTAGCCCTCATTGGGGCTGATAATCAGCCCCATTGGGGTTGATGGGGGCTGATTTTCAGCCCCCATCAGGGCTGATTTTCAGCCCCCAATGGGGTTGATGGGGGCTGAAAATCAGCCCCCATCAGGGCTGATAATCAGCCCCCAATGGGGACTGATGGGGGCTGATTTTCAGCCCCCATTGGGGGCCTCCAGGCCAACCACAAAGGGAGGCCCATTGGGGCTGATCGGGGCTGATTTTCAGCCCCCATTGGGGGCCTCCCAGGCCAGCCCCAAAGGGAGGCCCCCAAGGGCTGATTCAGCCCCAACGGGGGGGCCTCCCAGGGGCTGATACAACCCCAATGGGAGGCCCCCAGGGGCTGTATCAGCCCCAACGGGGGCCTCCAGGGGAAAAAGAAAAAAAAACGGAAAAAACCAGATCAGATCAAGCATAGAATAGAAAAACAAACACTAAATCAAACGGAAAACAGCAACCGATTTGGTTGAATATAGCAAATCAAA